AAAAAAAAAAAAAGAAAAAGAAAAAAAAAAAGATTCTGACCAGTTGATTATTTTAACTTGACAATTTAGGCCTTTTTTTTTTCTTTTTGAGAAAGGGTCTCACTATATCGTGCAGGCAGGAGTGCAGTGGTATGACCATAGCTTACAGCAGCCTCAAACTCCTAGGCACAAGTGATCTTGCACTCTGCTATCAAATGCCTTGGACCACAGATGCGTGCCACCTGGCTAATTTTTGCAGAGATGGGTCTCATTGTGTTGCTCATGCTGATCTTGAACTTCTGGCCTTAGGTTGTCTTCCCACTTTGGCCTTTCAAAGTGTTGGGAGTAAAGGTGTGAGCTACTACACCTGCCTGATGTTGAAATTATTATAAACTATAGATTCTCCTTTCCAGAAAAAAAGTAACATAGACACTACAATTTTACCTATTTTGGGCACTTCTTAGATATCTTGAAACTCACCCATCCTTGGTGTTCAGGATCCCACTTTAAGAACACATGCTCATGCAATGTCAACTTGTATACCTAATCCTGAATTGTACCCATCTTAAAAAAAAACACATGCTTTGAACAGTTTTTTCTTTTTGAGTAGGAATCTCAGTCACCCAGGATGGAGCACAGTGGCACTCTCACAGTCACTGTAACCTCAACCTGCTGGGCTCAGGTGATCCTTCTACCTCAGCCTCCCAAGTAGCTGGAAACACAGGTGTGTGCCACCTCACCTGGCTAATTTTTTACTGTAGGAACGAGGTCTCACCAAGTTGTCCAGGCTGGTCTTGAACCCTCGACTCAGGTAATCCTCTTTCCTCTCCCTCCCAAAGTGCTGGGATTACAGGCGTGAGCCACTGTGCCTTGCCTGTACAGTAGTATTTTTGAAAATTAGAATTGTATAGTCAGCGTTGTTAATTAAAAGGCTGCTGACTCCCATACTCCCCATGGCCCTACAAAAGGACTCAACAAATATGTGCTGTACCTGAGTTAGCTAAATCAGCTAATGTTATTTGATCTAATGGTTTTAAGATAATTGTGGCTGCCTTTAAAGGGAAGCAGTAAAAATTTAAAATGCTCTGAAAGCTCTTCAAAATTTCTGAGAGCTTGACCATAGTGAAATGAGGATTAGGATTAAGAGAGAAAGTGGGAGACAGGCGTGGTGGCACACGCTTGTAGTTCCAGCTCTTGAAAGGCTGAGGTGGAAGGATCACCTGAACCCAGCAGTAAGTGTGCCACTGCATTCCAACCTGGGTGACACAGTAAGACTCCGACTCAAAAAAGAAGAGAGGTAGCAGGGTTTACCAGGAATGGGAAATTCTGAAATCCCCCTCAAATATGAGAGGCAATATTGTGGAGTGATTAAGAACAGACTCTGAAAAAACAAAACAAAACAATATATATATATATATAAACACACACACAACTATATATTTTAATGTATATACAGCTTAAAAAGTCTATTAAATTGCAGATAGAATGTCTACCTAAGTAAATATATGATCAATGCCGTCCATTTACCTTCAGAAAAAGGACCAAAACCAATCATCTCCTTAGACAAAAGTACATATTGACCATTCCCCTTTTCCCCCCAGCATGCCTTACTTTTTCTCTGTTGTAATGACTAGCCAAGGAATGGTGCATTTTCTTTTTCATTACAAATTGGCAAGTTCTATGCCGTTGGTTTCTACAATTCTGTTAATAAATTGGTAAACCAGGGATAAGAGAAATTAGTAGTCCTTGAGTATGATTCTGTTCTTTTAAAGAATCACACATTTATTCTTTTTTTTTTGGAGTTGGAGTCTCACTCTGTCACCCAGACTGGAGTGCAGTGGCCGCTCCCGCCCACCGCAGCC